CAGGACCCGCTGGCCGAGGCCCTCAGTGCTGTCTCAGGCGGGCTGAAGCTCTGCTGGGCGGGCCGGGCCTGCCCTGGGCAGCTCTCTGCGGGCCAGACCATGACCTACTGTGTGTAACTCCAGGCTCTCCGCGGTGCGAGCTCCAGGTCCCTTAATGCCTTTCCCAGGGCCCGGAGAGTGGGTTAGCACCGGGCTCAGCAGGCTGCCCACAGCAGCTCGCGTCTCTGCTGCCCTGGTTCCGCTCCCTTCTTTAAGGAACGCCGGGGTCTGTGCGCGGCTCTGCCCGCCGCCCCCGCAGCAGCACAATTCTGGGATGTCCCCAGGTCTCCTGGGTTCAGGAAACCGTGAAAGGCCTCACTCTCTCTTTTTTCATATTAATTTTATTGAGAAAGAAATAGCAATGAGACAATTTCAAAGCAGATTAGTAGTACAGTTACAATAATTAATACATTGCATATTGTTGTCTTCGTAGTAATTATTCATAGTACAATATGTAGCTGTGATATCTTGTCTAAACGCTATTAGTTCCAACCTTTCTTCTCTTTGAACTAAGAGAAAGTAGCTGTCTATCTATCCTATTTTGTATATACAGATACATATCTATATTTATATCTATCTATCTATCTATCTATCTATCTATCTTACTATAAGATGCTCCTTCATTATATCCTACCCCCTTTTTCTTTACTTTTGTCAGCTATGGGTATTCCATTGCCATTCAAATATTGTAGGTGCGTGAATTCAGCAAAGTAATCCAATATTATGGCCTCAAATTTGTGATCTCTCTACTTCAAGTTTTCATAGCGCAAAGGATTCTAACCAGAAGGAAACTACAGTAAGGACAGCGCGCGCGCCCCCTCGCGGCCCTAGAGGTCATTACCTGAGTGAGGAGGTGCAGACGCAAGCCCTCTGGGTGGGCAGGGCCAGCTCCATCTGCATCCAGCCCCGTCCCTCAGACCACCCACTTCACCCCAGTAGCGGCCACAGACACAGGGACCCCAGCGTCACAAACAAGACATGGGACTGTGAGAAGCAGGGGTGCCCATCCCTGGGCCTGGTTGCGCAATCGTCACTCTGTGTATATCGAGTCCTCCCGGCGACCCCAGAGCCCAGGTGAAGCCTGAGCCGGAGAACAGGCCCAGCTCTCCGCTGCAATAGCAGAGCCCAGTCTCGGGGTCAGCAGGAGATCTGGGGGCCTTTGGGGTCTGCTAGGAAGATCTTCAGAGGGCACCTGAGGGAGAGTGGCTCCCTGGGGATGCCTCCGGTGCCTGGGGGACCTCAGCGCAGTTCAGGAGTCAGCTGAGCATCTCTACCATGATGTGGGCGACAGGAGCTTTAGCTGGTCCCTGGACACAGCCAGGTCTGAAGTGGGGCTCTGAAGACAGCCAGGGACCCTAGACACTTAGCTGGGTCTCTTGAAACAGCCAGGGGTTCCTGGAAGCAGCTGCAGCGCCCTCGCGCACGGGACTGATCTGTGGCATCCAGTCTCCTGGCCACTGGTAGAGCCGTCCAGCTCCTGCTGCCCCTCCAGGAGGGGGGCCGTCCTGCCCTTGAGACCAGGTGCTCCTGAGGGAAGCCTCCTGGTGCGGCAGGCTCTCTGCAGTGACTTCCCCAGGCCTGAGGCGAAGGAGCCAAGCAGGCTGGGTCCCTGTCTGCTGAGGAGGGCCTGAGTGCTGGACTCCAGCATGGACCACGGGGACACAGCTCTGGCTCCCACTGCGTGAGGGCTCAGTGTCCAGTTCACCACTGGTCACCTCCTGAAGCCCTGCTGCAGGGTCTGAAGAGAGAGGCCCAGGGCTCGGTGTGGGTTCCTAGTGGGCGTCTCTGGGGACGAGTGGGGCTGGGGGGTGGGGCAGCCATGCCTCAGGGCGTCTTCTCCACAGCAGGCACAAGGGAGACTTCACCACAGCAGGTGGGACTCAGGTGACATGTGCAGTACAGTTCTGAATCCTAAAGACAGTGATTTCATCCATTACCAACAGTGGCAGGGTAGAAAAGCTAAGTGCTCAGATAAGAAAGCCGCTTTGGCAGACCAAGCATCTGTCTGCACCTCAAACCCATTCATTCTCAAAAGTAGGGGTAAAGTAGGAGCCAATATCTCACAGCCTGATGGTGAATGTGCACAAAGAGCATGCAGCTTGCCTCATGACTATCTTGCAGAATACAGAAAGCTGTCTGCTCAGCTCAACAGAAAGACAAGGCTGTCCCCTCTCCTTCCCTTCCAGCCCTGAACTGCTGCCTCCCAGCTGCAAGAGGCTCAGAAAAGGAAGAGCAAGGTAACAGGCTGGGGAGCAACAAGGGGAATGTTCCCAGCTGCAGGGATCGCTGTACAGCAAATCTGCATGATGGGACCAAACAAAGACAGAAAGGGAAGCCTTCCGGAACGAACCAGGGATTACAGCAAAGTGGACCGCAGATTATTCGGCATGTCTGTCACTTATGTATAATCCAGCAATGAGCAGGGGAATTCGACAACACCAGCTAGGGGCGATTCTCACCCCACACCCTGCACAGGTGCCTTCACCCTGGCATTTGAATCTGGTCCTGAGAAGGACATACACAGCAGGCAGGAAGGGCTGCAGAGCAGGCCTCTTATCCCAGAGCCAGTCTTCGGAGCCAGCCAGCATTGCCCACCCCCAGCCTCTGCTTCGCACCAACTGGTCTTCATGTCCACATTGTTAGATTTCAGCAGGAACCTTGCCAGAGCAGCGCATAAACACATTTGGGTTCCAGGCCTGCTCGCTCTGTCTAAGGGCATCATTTTGCACTTTCTGCTTTCATAGAAAAATCCAATGCTTATTCATTTGTTCCATTAGATGAACCAATTCTAGGTCTTTGGGGCACAATTTCCCATCCTGGGGGTGAGCAGAGAGGAGGGGCAGGCAGCAGAGCCCACGGCAAGGTGACGGGAGGCCCCACAGCTCCGGGAGAAAGGACATTTGCCCCATGCCAGAGGATTCTTGCCTTGGCGACCACTATAGCTCTCTGCACATTTTAAACATAGATGTCCTCAGTTATGGACCAGAACATTCCGGGATGAACAGACATTTGTCTTTGTCCCAAGGCTCTCCCTCTCTGAGGGCTCCATGAGTCCTTTCTGCTGTTCACGGCCTGGCTGCCTCTTGGGTCCTTCTCTGACCGCACTGGGTCTGGAGGAGCAGAATCCCAAGGGCCGCCAGGACCAGGCCAGCCAGGCCCATCCGGATGAGATTCTCCACCGTGTAATCCTGAGGCCGTGAGGCTGAGATGGGGACAGAGAGGTCACAGAGGTCAGGACAGGCAAAATTCACTGCCACCCCACGTATGTCCACCTATGTTCCCTGGACAGGACTGGACCTGGGTTCAACCCCAGGACCGACAGTTCCTACTCACCTGTCTTGGGCTCTGACTTGCTCTGTGATGCGCTGGGGGGCTCACCTGTTCCTGAGAACCAGGTCAGGGAGGAGGATTGTGAGGCCGTGAGGAGACCTGAGGGTCCCTCCTGAGCTGCACAGCTCTGTGTCTCCTACACAGCCAGCAGCTTCATGTGGCCCGGAATGAGGCCTTTCTGCCCCCAGCCAGCTCCCCCTGCTCTGCCCAGTGGGCCTTAGCCTCGCTGTGCTCTCTGACCTCACAGCTGCTGTCAGAATCACAGTGTGGTCCAGGGAGCTCCTGCTGGGATGCACAAAGATGTGTGCTAATCGTCCTGGATTTGTGTCCCTGCTGTTTTGCCTGCTGAGGATCCAGGCACCAGGGATGCCGGACCGGCCCTCAGGCCCCTGGACTCCAGGAGCACAGCAGATGCAGGAGCCTGGGCTCCCTCCCCTTCACCACCCAGCCAGGCCGCTTGTTGCTTTAACGTCACATTAGCCCTCCTGAAGGGATTGTCACATGGGCAGGAGCCCCTGGGTCACAGCACTCGCATGTGGGCAGACGTGTGTGTGCTCAGGGCGGGTGTGTTCTGTGTGGTAAGCTCAGTATTGTCCCCAACCAACATGCAAGGTTATTAATGTGCCTAAACCTATGACTTCCTTATGTCCACATGATATTTTCAAAATGCTCCACAGTCAGATCTCTTACTCAGAAGGTATTACAGTACCTGGAAGAGCTCAGACTTCCCTGTGGCTATGCAGAGCCCCCAGCACCGCCCACTGGGCTGTGCTCACCTTGCAAAGACAGAGACCGGAAGTAGCAGGGAGCAGCCCCTGGGCCTGGCTGAGGTGCAGGAACCTGGCTCTGATTTCTCTTGTTCCCCCAGCAGCCGGGACCATGACGCCTGCAGCCTGAGCCCTGCAGCTCTCCACAAGCGCCCACCCTGGCTTCTTCACGCCCACCCTCCCGTGCTGTGCACTCAGCCCCCTCCGTGCCAGGGAGGTTCTGTGGGGCTTCCTGCGCAGGAGGAGCCCAGGTGTCCCCCTCTGCACGGTGCCCCCTTTGTTTCCCTTCCCTGCCTTCCAGCTGCAAATTGAACCTCCTCTAAGGAAAGCTGGACGCCTCGCCCACGCCCTCCTACACCTTGTCCTGCACAAGAGCCACACAGGCTCGGACTCTAAGGCCATAATTAGAGGAAAAGTCAAAGAAGTGTTACAAGGTCAGACATACGTGAAAATGAGCATGTGTGTCTGCGACCCTCATGTGCTGTTAGTGGGGATGGCAGGCAACAAAATATGCTCTTCTGTACTAATTGTCACCTACCCCGCTGCATCACAGCCGAGCAGCCTTGTCATGGCTCCACAGCAGTAATCCTGGGCAGGCTGCCTGAGCCTGGCTTCCAGAATGAAGGAGCCTCGGCTTCATTCAACTACTTCCCTCCTGGAGGAGCCCTCAGTGACAAGATTCAGCCATCATACCAAGGTGGTCCTTGGAGTTACCATAGCAGACACAACCTCCTCGACAGCCAGGACAGCTACGGGCTCTGTGGCACTGGCTCATTTAGTAGAAACTGCTCACTTTGTAGACAATGGGACCCAAGGCTGGTGACAGCTGGAAAACTCAGGGAGACATTGTTATAAAGTTGCAAAGCCAAGGGAGCATTTTAAAAACTTCTCTCCTTTGGATGGAAGATCTAATAGAAAGTTTGCAATTGCAACTAGGATGAGAGTGTCACTGTAGTGTGACTGGTTTTGTATCACCCCTTTACCATAGAACAACATTCTCCATCCTTGGGGAATGATCAGAAACCACATACAAGGAGCAGGCCATCAAACTGTGACTGTGGATATGGACACCCTTCAGAGGAGGGCGCTGTAAGTGTCAAAACGGACAGTCACATGGGATACCCAAAATTAAAGACTGGGACAAGCTCGCTGATGCTGTAGGACAACTGAGCGCATTTATTCTTGATCTCAAGGCTCTCTCATTGGTTTCACTTTGGAATCAGTGTGCTTATTTTCTTACTTACAGCCCTTCTCATAAAGGAGTGCCATAGACGATTCACAGCCCGCAACAGCTAGAGGCCGTACTGCGTCGAGGGACTCTGCCCCAGCCCCTTCCAGGCTGTGTCCTCCTGTGCAGGACACCAGGGGACCCTGCTTGAAGGAGCAGCTATCATCTCCTTTCTGGCTGAGCCTGCTGGCCAGGAGGTTTCCTTACCCCTCCCCCGGCCCTACGCAACACGGACAGCCCAGCTGAGGTGCTAGTGTGTGCTCTTTGAAGTAAGGCGACAAGTCAGTAAGGCTACCTCGCCCTGTTAGCTCCTCAAAACACGTCCAACTGAGCAGGAGGGAGAGCCCGGCTCCATGTTCCCTCGATAAGAGCCTATGACCCCCAAGGGTATGAAAACCACACATCAGCACTGAAGCAGCGACCCAGAACACCAGGTCCTCCCGCAGCCGTGCCGTGCAGATCACTCTCTGCGTGTCCTTCTCGCGGCACGTTGCAGAGGTCATCTGCGGCCTCCTCCCGAGCCCAGCTCAAGGCCCTCACCTACTTCCTGCCGCTCTCACGGTCACTCGTGCTCAATCCACTCGCTCTTCACAAATGAATATAACCCAGGTCAGGCCCTGGTCAGGGCACGTTCAGGCTCTGCATCTTCCTGTCGGCACTGGGACCCCTTGGCTCCCCATTACTGCACATTCGCCTAGCGCCTCCCTGCTTACCAGGGGTGGTGCCCGAAGTGCTAGGTTTGAATGAATTCGCTGGAGTTGCTGTCACTTTTCCATGGGGTTACAAATACACACTCCCTGGGCTAGACGAGGACCAGGAGGGCTCCCTGTACTCCTGCCCGCTGCCCTGCCCCAGCTCAGCCTGCCTTCTCATCGTGAATCTCCCTCCTACTGACACCCAGGTCACACGCACAGCAGCAGTTAACAGCTACCATTTGCATAAGTAGATGCGGCCCCACCCTGCCTGGCATTCCTCCTAATGTCCCCACAGATGTGACCTAGCCCAGGACAGCACAGCAGATTTGGGCCTGAGGCATCAGCCAGTGACCTGTGCTTGCCCTGGGTCACAGGGGCCTGCAGTGCTGTGGACAGTGATGTGCGGGGCAGGTGGCAGCCTGCGAGCTGTGTCTGCAGCTCACGGCCTTGGTGAGCAGAGGCCGCGGCAGCCAGGGCTGGCCAAGTGGCGTCACGGTGTCCAGGACCCAGGGAGCCCGGTGGAGCACACATGCTGGGACAGCACCCGTCATCAAGTAAAGCGCGGCTGAATCTAGTCACGCACGGTTTGTATAAATGCATACACAATTTGGTTTTAACATCTATTCTAAATTTATATAAATAAGTCTGATGAGTTGAATGTAAGGTAACATAGGGTTTATTCCAATTATATAAATTATATATATTTAATGTACCATCAATGTTGTGGTTATGTTAATGATAGTAGTACCCTGTTATATATTATAAATATGATTATAGCACTGAATAGGTAACATACATTATATCCACTGCAATGATACTTTGGTATGCTTTGTCATCTGAATTATATCCTTATATATTTAAAATATTGAGCAATTAATTCAATATCGCTTTAGTTCCAGGTCTGAAGTTTCACTTGACAGACTCCTATTCATGTTTGCAGCTCTCGTGTGGGGACACTGTGTGCACCTCTGTATCTGGTTCTAATTCCAGCCCCATGAGAGCTCCAGTGAGCCAGACCTTCCCCCCCCCCACTCTCAGCAAGCTTCCAGCCTGCACCCCTCAAACACACCACTGTAAGACAAATTTCAACCCAAGAAGGGTTTTCCTGTTGCAGAAGGGCGGACCCTGAGTCATGCGCCCTGTGGGAAAGCATCACCCACCCCGGGAGCTGTCACGACCTGCCCTGCCCCTGGGGAAGCCCATGCAGGGTCCTGAGCACAGAGCTGTGTAGCCCAGAGCCATGGTTTCCTCCTGAGCCCGGAGTCAGAGCCCTTGACCTTCACACTGCACAGCATCTGGGAGAATATGCTCAGCCTTGCGGCCAAAACTCATAGGCAGGCTGTGCAGCAGCTGCCCCTGAGCTTGCCAGTCGCCCCCCCCATGTGGGCTCAGGTCACAAGGGTCTTTGGGAGCAGTGACAGCTCCTCTTTCACCTGCTAAGGGCTCTGTCCTCCCCACACACCTGAGCTCAGAGCTCTGCCGCCAGACTCAGTAACAATGCTCAGGACAAGGACATCTGGTAGGTGGCACAAGAGGCTGCAAAGACAGCACACAGCCTGGTCCCTTCTTGGAGGTACCAGCCACAGAGCACAGGGCTCATGCAGCTGGACAGCCCCAGACACAAGGAGTGGGAAGGGGACAGGTGTGCTGAGAAGGATGGAGAGGGCTTGTAGTCAGGAGGGGGAGATGGGAGACAGATGAGGGCAGGTGGGAACATGGTCAAGATACCTGGGGACAAATCTGAAGGCAAAGCGGAGGTTGGGGACTGCACTGTCTGGGTGACATCCCCACCGGTCACTGCCAGCTCCAGGATCTCACTGCGTGAAGACCACATGGATGAGTTCTGGTACATGCAGCTGTACTGCCCAGCATTCGTCAAGGTGAGGTAGAATCTGGCTTCATTCTCCGAAAATGAAGTGGTCGTGTAATCTATAATTGCAGAACAACGCCCAGCAGAACACTTCTCCAGGCGGAATCGCTCAATGCTCCCTTGGGCCTGGCACATGATGGTCACAGCTCTCCCTCCACTTGTCATAGAGCCCAGCTCTGCCGTGATGGAGGGTGCAGGCAGGGGCCCTAAAGGAAGCAGAACAGGCCTCAGTGTCCACCGAGTAGAAGTCGCCACATGCAGAGCACATTTCAGGGGCACCTCAGTACTTAGTGTTCCTGGCAAACTTACAGAGCTGCGCAGCCATGAGCCAGTGTGACTTCACTTGTTTCCACCACTCCCCATGTGATCCCTGTGCACCCCAGTTCTCACCCCTACACCCTCACAGTAGAGATCCCCAACCTGGGGACATCCTGGGTCTGGCTTGGGTATCCCAGGACTGTTAGAGTGAGGACAGTGGGTCCGTGAGGAGTCTACTGTGGAGCCTCTTACATAAACACACTGCCCAGGGCCCCGGGAGCGACCTTCTGGGTTTCCTCGAGGTTTCCTATGCTCACCTCAGCCTCATTTCTATTCCCTGATTATCCTATCTGAGGTGGAGCTAGGGAAGATGAGATTGTAGCCCCTAAGAGGAAGGTCTATAAGAGCAGGAGCTGCAGAGGATCAAGCCACCCACATTCACTCTTCCCTACTGACGCATAAAGGCAAGGTCATAACTGCTCCGACCTCATCCTTACCCTTCACATATAAATATGTAAACTTAAGAGGTGTCAACTAACTATTAAATGCCAGCTGCAAATACTTGGGCGGCACCGCAGGGTGCGTTCATGGAAGCGTACGTGGGTGGAGGAATGGGAAATCCGGCTCCGTAACGTGGACTCCTCGCATCTCCCACTGCTGTGTGGGGAGAACACTCAGTTTATTTTGCTCTTGAGGTTCTTCAAGCACAGCAGGTCTCATTAACCATGTTCCTTAAATTGTCTCAACTCACTCTAGCTGAAATCTGGCATGCTGTGACCAGGGTCCAGGTATCTAGGAACAAGTGCACCAGGCAGCCCTTGGCAGGAAGTGGCTGGGAGGGGGCCCTGCTACCTTCTTCCTGCACCCTTTCAGCCATATAGCAGTTCCTCTTTGTCCCAGGTCTCCTTCCCTGTCCCACAGTTCCACAAGTGCAGGATGCCAAGACACAGTCCCCGCCCTTGGAGCTGACACTGGGCAGAGCCAGACACTGACAGATAACTGTCCCCATGCCCAGCTGCACCCGAGATGAGTGTCCTGGGGAGGGCAGGGACCTGGCCCAGGAGGGAGGAGCTGCCCACCCTGGGTGCTGGGGAAGGGTGCCCACTGTGCCCAGGAAGATTGGAACTTCCCTGTGCTAAGGGCCCAGGGAGAGCAGAGGAGAATGGCCACCTGACAGGGTCACCAAGGAAAGCTGAGCTCCCCCTGGACAGGAGGAGGAAGCCGGAGATCCACCAGGGACCTGGAGACTGTGGCCTAACGGGGTGTCGTGGCCTTGCCCATCACTCAGAGGCAAGTTACAGAGCTCTCAGCATGGAAGAAGATGCACCAGGTAATGCTGATGAGCTCTTTGCGTGATGTCTACTTGTTTCAAAATGTCATGCTGTACGTGGTAAATAGGTGCAGACTCATGGGTCAATTTAAAATTCAGCCTGGGATAGGGAGACAGCTCAGGGCACAAGCGCCTGCCTGGGGAGCGCATGCTCCTGGGATCAATTCCAGGTACCAAAAAATTGAATAAAATAAAGCTCAGCCTGCGAGCTGAGTGCAGCTTGTGCCTCTGAAAAAGTGATAGAAAGTCAAGATATCTAGGGACAAGCGCCCCAGCCTGACGGGCAGAAGGAAGTGCGCAGGGGACAGCCAGGCCCAGACCTGAGAGCTGAGCCGCGCTGCTTCTGTCTGAAGCTAAACCTTGGCAAGCGTCTGAGGAGGAGCAGTTTTTTACATGAACAACATTGTAAACACAAACTGCTTCAATAAAACTGAACTATCGTGGAAAGAGAAACAGACCGCTGGAGCCCATCTCACTCGGGCCGGCCTCCTGTTCCTGCTCGAGAGAAGCAAGGGCAAGTTTGGGCGCCGAAGCAGTTCAAAACTCAAGGGCTCAGCCTGCGTCCTGCTGGGGCTGAATCTCCCGTGAGCACTTGAGCGTGTCACCAGGACACCTGCGCCCCACGGTCACTGCTGCACCAGTCGCCTCACCGGAGAGACAAATCAGCCAAAGGTCACCTGTTGGATGAGCGGACCAGGAGAGTGGGGGGCAGGCAGAGTGCAATGCCCCTCACACTTCAGAGACAAGGGACCTCTGTGAGCAGTGACGCAGGGTGGACACGCAGGCATCCTGCCAGGTGGGCTGAGTCTGCGCGGGGCAAGGGCCACGCAACCTCATCTCCTCCTGCAGAGTCAGGAGCTGAGGGGGAGCTGCGGCTCCCAGAGGCCAGGGGAGGCCCAGATGGAAAGGGACCACGCTGATGCTTAGGCACAGAACAGCACCTAGAGCAGACGGGGAGCTCCTGAGACCTGGGGCGGGCGGGGCAGGCTGGCTGCGGCTCACAGCGACACAGCGCACATTTCCGATGGCTCAGAGGGCAGACATGACATGTCACCATGAAAACAAGCCAATGAGATGCATAGGAGCCTAATTCAATTCTCCCAAATATGGACATTATATAAAAACTTCATTCCATCAAGCATACATATAAGCAATTATTATTTCTATTTTTACAAAAAAACTACAGACAATGAGAAAATGGGAAGAGGATGGCTTTGGTGGCACTGCACTAAAATCCCTGCACTCTGGAGGCTGAGGCAGGAGGATCACCATGAGTCCCTTAGTTAGGTAGTGAGGACAAGGTCAGCCTGAACTGCAAAACAAGGCAGTGCCTCTCCACCCCCAAAAAAACAATAATGGGAAAGGCAGCTGGCTGTAGGCTACACATTGCCCCTGTAATAACTAGGGACCTGGGTAGGACACCCCAGCCCAGAAGTCACCTCCCTCCTGCCCAACAGAGTTAATGGGACTCACCGTCCTGCGTGAGGATCTCCTGGCCCAGGCAGAGCCCTGGAAGAGAAGCGCAGTTAGGAATGCCCGGTGCCCAGTTCCTGAAGGGTGGAGCAGCAGGGCCGCGGCAGAGCCCAGGACTCTGTGTCCGATGGTAACCACCCCACCCCACCTCACGGGGACACGAGGCCCTGACCCTGCTTTCTATGGAAGACCCTCAGGCCCCATGCACATAGGCTCTGCGCTCCCCAGACCTTCCAGAACCTCACCTATGGCACACCTAGGGCCTTGTTTCTAGGACCGAGTCCTCTGCTGCCCCTGAGTCCTGCTGGCATGGAAGAGCAGCCTGAGCTGTCCAGCGGGAGCCCCAACTTGGCGGCTGGCAGCAGGCTGAGCAGGGAGCAGGACTTCTTCCCCAAGTCTCCTGCCTTGGTCCCTCCAACCCTCCCCTTGTCACAAACTCACCAAGGACCAGGAGGGAGATGGGTTGTGGAGGCATGACCCGGAGCTGAGGGCTCCGAGGAGACGAGGCCAGGATGTGGAGGCTGGGACCCAGTCAGTTTCTCCCTCACAGCATCACTCAGGGAAGCTCGGCCTCCCTTGCCTCTCCTGTCCCTAACTGCCCAGGGGCAGAAGGCAGCCTCCCTTCAGATGGGGGAAGGCTCCTTATGAATCTTCAGGAGAGGACAGAAGGTGGTTGCACAGGACAGCCTCTAGTTCTCAAAGCAGTGGCTGTGGGCAGGGTGTTGCGACACAAAAGCCAGCAGTTCCTCACACTGAAAATGGGAACCACGGCTCGCTCCTGCCAGTGTGAGGACTGTGGTCCTTGCAACAGCCCCACGAGACAGTAAACACACTGAACACACCTCCTAGAGATGAGATTTTCACAGTCTTCCTCTGCAGACCATCTCCTCAGAGCCCATCGCCCACCCTGTCTCTCACAGCAGGTTGAGAGGCTGGAACGCTTACTGCTGCAGCTGGGAATGCAAACGGTGCCCAGGCTGTGGGATAGGGGAACGAGATTCCTCCAAATGCTAGAAACACAACTACCATCGGATCGGCAATGCCCTTTCTGGGTGAGTACTTAAATGAGGGGGCATAAGTAAGTGGGAGAGCAGAGCTGTGCAACCACGGAAATTTGCACAGCTGGCTGGCTGGCTGCAGGTGTGCTGGGTGCAGAGCGGGTGCTGTGCGGCCTGGAGAAGAGCAGGGACTCTTGCCAGGTGCTGACACAGGTGACCTGCATGCAGTAGTGCACCGCCCTCCTGAAATGGAAACACAGCTCTTACACAGCTCCTGTTCAAATCATCGAAATAGTCAAGTTCAGGAAACCAGAGAGGGGCTGGTGGATTCCTGGGCCTGGAGCAGCAGGTGCAGGGAGCAGGTGGTCAGCAGGGGCACAATTTCAGACAAGCGTGTGGCCCAGGCCCTGCAGAAGTGCATGAGAGCTGCAGCGTTCACCTGGAATGTTACGGGGAGAGCTCTCACCGAGCAGGTCCTCACATGTAGCTCACCTCCTTGTAAGTCGGAGCCTCCTGACAGCTCTGGGCACCACCTGGGCCCAGGGAAGAGACATCCCAGGGTAGCTGCACAGATCAGAAATCTCCCATTCAGTTGCACAATGCAGTCAGAGGGGCAGGGTGTTGCGCAGCCCTAAAGGAACAGGAAGTCAGGACACAGACCTTGACATCCACAGGGGACACGGGGGGAGGCAGAGGGGACACACCGGACACCAGAAGTCAGGACCAGGGTCTTCACACGCAAGTGCTGAGAACACAAGATTGCCGTGGACTCTGGGGCCCGCTGCCTGCAAGCACAGGAGGAGCAACTTCGGCCAGGCCAGGCAGACGGAGGCCCACGAGGTGGCCTGCGCTCACATGGCTCTGCAGAAGGCGTGGAGGCCCGAGCCCCAGGCTGAGACGAGCAGGCTGAGCGGGCTCAGCAATGCGACCCACAGGGACTGCTGCACACGCCGAGCGTGGACCTGGTGTGGAGAGCAGAAGACACGGGGATTTGCAAGAGTCCTGTTTCTTGCTTAACAACAGGATTTCAAAAGGAAAACCCTTCCTCGTCCTCTGGGTCTTGTACCAACTGTACCCTGTGGCGACAGGAGACCTGCAGCACTCATTTCCCCACCACGACACAGGAGTGAGCAAGACCAGCCACTCTGCATGCCAAACGGGGGGCTTCTGATGTGCTGAGCTCCCCAGCATGGCCCGCGCCGGACCTGCTCACGAGAGTGTGTGTGACTGGGGCACCGAGCAGGGAGGCCTGAACTATGTCTGCCTTTTTCCTTAGTTTGGTTTTTTGTTGCTATTGTTGTTTTGTTTTGTTCTTTTGACAGGGCCTTGCTAAGTCACGAGGCTGTCCAGGCTCATCTCACACTTGTGGTCCTCCTGCCTCAGCCCCACGCGTGCTGACCACATAGGTGTGCCCACCGAGCCTGCTGCCACAGGTTTTGAGATGTGAGTGTGGTTTCCTTTTAGTGACATATGAGATGAAAGGAGCACATCTGGCGTGCACAGCTGGCTGGGGCCTCACAAGCTGCGTGCACGCGCACGCACGCGCACACACACACACACACACACACACAGCACCGCCCTGGGGAACAAGCTCATCCAGGCAAGGCCCTGGCTCTGAGCCCCCCGACCTTCTCCCAGGGCTGCTGCTATCCGGGCTGTGGGAGTGTGAACAGGGATTGTGGGTCCGGGTCCCCTCATCATGCATGCTCTGGTTTCCACCATTCTCGTGGGCAGAGGTAGCTCCAGGTGTCTGCACCAAAAGAACACAGACGGCTCAGAGCACGCATCCACTTGTGAAGGTCACTGGCCTGGAGGGGACAGAACTTGTCTCTGCTCAGTTTTCATGGTCGTGAATGTCACAGCGGTCACATGTGGAAGCCAGGGACACTAGAAAAGCAGCCCGGGACAGGCAGACACTTCTGCACTGAAGATGGAAAGGGGAAACACAGCAGTGGCTTGCCATTTCACAGTTCCACTTCTGAGGACTCAGTGTTTAGTGGCTTTTCAAAAAGCATTAATCTAAATTACTTATCAGAGATTTTTCACTAGTTAGCAAGATTTTGCAGGGATGTACCGTAGTATATACATATTTATATGCATAGTGTTTATTATTTCAATTATTTTTGCCTAAAAATTTTAAAATATATTAATGTGTCAATTCTAACATTAAAAGAATATTAAATTGAAATAAAATACACAGTTTACAGTATGCATATCTTTAGAAGATAAATGCATATTGTACCATACAATGTGCATATGTTGTTAAAATTATGCAGGTTTACAACTTTAGAAAATGTTTAGAACATTAGGGATGTTTTTTAAAGTGTGGGAAAGATTTATAAGAGTAAGGAAAGGGGGGCTGGTGAGATGGCTCACTGGTCTAAAGCGCCTACTTAGAACAAGCTTAGCAAAGCACAGGGACCGCGGTTCAATCCCCCAGCACCACATGCCAGCCAGCCCCGCCCCCTGGTGGGCTGAGCTGGCCACACACACACACACACACACACACACACACACACACAAATAAATAAATATATAATAAAAAAAAGAGTAAGGAAAGGTTTATAATCCTTAAAATATGTTATGGGCTACTCAGCATAGGAACCAGATAGGCCAAATTGGAAGTTAAGAGTCTTTATTACTGATCTCAGGGGCATCAGCCAGTTCTCATGCAGGAGAAGACTTGCTGGCCCAGGCAGCAAGGGGTTTTTAAAACAAAAATTCACATGACTAAGGGGTCTTTGTGGCTGGTCAAGCAGGCTGTTTTTACAAGATACGTCTTAAGCAGACTGTGTTTACAGGAATTAGATTAGGGAGGAGAGGAAGACAGTTACTCTGTTACTCATTACTAAACAGCCTTGATCAGAGGGTGAGGACATATTCCTTAGAGTAGATAATAAGAAGCATAAGGAAACCTAATAGTTTTCTGTAGTTATAGCAAAAAATTCAGTTGACTCATTACATTCCCCACCGGTCTTATCTGGCAATCAAATCATTGTTTCCTCAGTTCTTTTAAGGGCTGCTATTGAGCTCTAAGCACCATGAACTTGACAACCTGGATATTCCTTGTTGAACATACTTAGTTAAACAGTTTATGAAACAGGGCCAGATAATCAAGGCCAAGAGAAACAGGAGAACAGATCCAATTGAGGCAGATGTCAGGTCATTTACACAAGGAGACATCAAGAATAGTCCCCAGTTTTTCTTTTGACGACTCTCTAGAGCCAATTTTTTTCCCTTTGGATACATTACACCCCAGTTGTTTTACATGTTGTTCTGCTATTTCACCAAAGAAGAGGCTTTGAACAACACTAAATATCATAGCATGTGCTTAAACCTCTTGAGTCTAATGCACTTGTGGCACTTTGTGGTGATGTAATATCAAATTATTTTAAGATGAATGTAGACTGGTGCAACCGTTATAGAAATCAGTATGGAGAC